ATTATTTCCTTTGCTGTGCAGAAGCTTTTTAATTTAATCAAGCCCCATTTATTTATTTTTCTTATTGCTGTAATTGCCATTGTGATCTCAGTCATAAATTCTTTGCCTAGGCCAATGTCTAGAAAAGTTTTTCCTACATTTTCTACTAGAATATTTATGGTTTCATGTCTTACATTTCAATCTTTTATCCATCTTGAATTAATTTTTGCAAATGGTGAGATATAGGTTTCCTGTTTCATTATTCTGCATGTGCTTATCCAATTTTCCCAGCACCATTTCTTGAATAGGGCTTATATTCCCCAGCATATGTTGTTGTCTGTTTTGTCAAAGATCAGTTGATTGTGGTAGGTAGGTGGCTTTATTTCTGAGTTTTCTGTTCTGTTCCATTGGTCTATGTCTCTATTTTTGTACCAATATCATGCTGTTTTGGTTACTATACCTTTGTAGTATAGTTTGAAATCTGGTAATGTGATGCCTCCAGATTTGTTCTTAGACTTGCTTATGATTGCTTTGGCTATTCAGCCATTTTTTGGTTCCAGACAAAACACTGGTCATTACTAATTCCCTCAGTATTTACTTGTATGGAAAATTCTTTATTTCTCTGTCAATTATGAAACTTAGTTTTTCAGAATACAAAATTCTAGGCTGGTTATTGTTCTGTTTAAGAAGACGGAAAATGGGGGCCTTTTGGTTTATAAGGTCTCTACTGAGAAGTCTGCAGTTAGCCTAATGGGTTTTCCTTTGATGGTCAGTTGTTGCTTTCATTTTGCTGCTTGTAGAATTTTCTCCTTCATTTTAACTTTGGTCAGGTTGATTACTATGTATCTTGGAGATGTCCTATTTGCTACGAATCTTCCCAGTGTTCGATGACCATCTTGAATTTGGATGTCTGAATCTCTGGTGATACCAGGGAAATTTTCCTCAATAATTCTCTTGATTAGATTTTCCATGCTTTTTGATCCTTCTTCTTCTCCCTCAGAAATACCTATAGTTTGTATATTAATTTGCTTTCTATAGTCCCAATCTAAGAGATCGCTCATTCTTTTTTATTCTCTTTTCTACCTCTTTAAATTACTGGGTTAGCTCAAGAGCCTTGTTCAAGCTCTGAGATTCTTTCTTCTCCTTGGTTTAGTCTGTTGTGGAAGCTTTCTGCTGTGCTTTGATATTCTATAAATGACTCTTTGATTTCTTTAAGTTGTTTTACATCCTTCCTTATGTTGTGTACCTCTTTAGTGGCTTTTTCATTCTGTTCATTGATTTACTAAAAATATTTTTGGCTTATTTTTGTTTGTTTTCAAGTTTCTCTTAAATTCCATTCATCTTATTTGCCAACCATATTCTGAATTCCATTTCTGTCACTTCAACAATTTGCTTTTGATTGGAGTCTCCTACTGTAGCTCCATTGTGATCCCTCAGGGGTATTGAACTGTTTTGTTTTTTCATGTTGCCAGGGTTCTTTTCCTGTTTTTTTGTTTTGTTTTGTTTTGTTTTTTCTCATCTGAACCCTATTCTGTTAGCTCAGGGCTATTATGTTTGCAGAGCACCTGTTCTTTGCTGTGAACTCTCCTGCTTAGTTAGAAGAAGGAGATGTCCCTAGATGGCACATTTGTGTCCTATTCTGGAATGCTGACCCCTCAGGGGCAAGGCAGGTACACTGAAAGCCTATAGTGCAGCTGTTCTGTTTTATTCCCCCTCCCCTGTGATTTTCACAGTTCATACCAGTGCTGGATGACCTTTGTGTGGGATGACGGGTTGTTCCCCAGATCACTGTTGGAAGTTCAAGTTCGGGGGCACCTCCTGTGCTCAGATACCATACTGGGGGGTAAAAGCACTTGGGTCCCAGTCACCGGGAATGACATGGGGAGCATCTGCTCTGCTCAGTCCCTCCCTGGCCCAGCAGGGCAATGCAAAGGCAACCACTGCAAAACTAAGTCCCGTGCAGACCTCACCCCATGCACCTGAGAGCTCAGGATGGCACCAGCTGCAGAAACCCAGGATCAGCAGCCACCAGATCCCTGCTGTGCCTGCTCTGCAGTATGTCTCTGCACAGACTCTAAGCAGCTCCCTGATTAGTCCAGAGGTCTGTGGTGGTGAAGGGTGCACCCTCACAACTCAGGCTGCAGTGCCTGAAGAATGAGTGTTGTGCCCCAGGACTCTATACTGCTGACCTTCCCCACGTGTGGATGCCTCCCACAGATCCCTTTAACCTTGCCAAATGAATCACCCTGTCACCTTCTCCTACACTCTCAATGTTGTTTGTCACTTCTTCAGGGCTTTACAATGTTCTTTCCAAGAAATGCCATCTATAGGTAGATATCCACCTGCAACTTTCGATCCTTTCCTTGACAGCAGTGCATACATGAGGTGCTTCTAATCCTCCATCTTCCTTTCTCTCACATATATTTTACTTTTATATATGCTATAAACACCCAATACATTGTTAGTATTTCAGCTTGAGACCAGGGATTAGTAAACTAAACAAGACGATGGGACTGTAATGAATGAGAAATTAACTTTTATTGTGATAACATGTTGATATTTTGGAGTTGTTTATCCTGCCATTATCCTATCCAAATCCTAATTTGGTGGGGGAAGAGGCTGTGAACTGCTGCTCTCAGGTACCTCACAATTTGATCAAAGAGGCTGTATCACATATTCTTCAATTAAATGTTGCTTAGACCAGTTGACCTGAATTGGTCCTTTTCATTTTTTTTCTTTTTTGGCCTTAATAACCTGGAAAGAGAAAAAACATATAGTCTGAGATGCAGTCGATCAGTTAACCATCCTCTTCCTGCAGTGATTATGTCCTTCAGAAGTGTATCTTTCTTTTTGTCTTCTCATAAAATTATCTCCTTCCCATCCTCCTGACACATTATTCCCTCTTGGATCACTGTCTGGAAGTTAATATCTGGCCTGAGATATATACTCCTACTTAACAAGGGCACACATACATATTTCTCAGGTCTTTTCCTCCACTCCCACAAAGAGAGACAGCAGGCCCTGCAAGTGATGCTGAGACATAGGGAAGAGCACCAAGTGCAGCACTAGGATGGGTGAGGGGGTGTGACAGAGGGACAGGACTAGAAGTTTACACTGACTCAATTGCCCTGGATTACGGTAGGCACAGGAATGCTTGGATTGACTCTGAGAGATGCGTCCTCAATGTGTTCATGGTCTGTGTCTGCTTTTATATACATTAGTCAGAATAATTTGTCCAACTTTGGACAAGCTGTCCGCATTAGTCTTGCAGTGTTACTGAGGAACTCTTTGCCAGGCTCTGTGGGCACCACAATGTGTGTCTCTACCTTGTGAAGCCCATGTTCTCTTAACTGTGTATCAGGGATGTGTATTTCCTCAAGCGAGGTTCCTTGGCTCTGTGAGATCAGGTGTACTAAATAACAGGGTCTTCCATTCCATATCCTGTTCAATAGCACAGTCCAGCTTTCTGATAGAACGTACAAAATACCATCCCCTTGGAGAGTTGACTGTTCCATGCAGTTCCCACCTTTATGAGGCTATGAACTCCAGATTTCAGCTGTAGTTTTTCTCCACTTTTTGACAGCTCAAAGAATGTAAGTCGAAGCTTATCTCCTTCCTCACATTCTTCTTTGATCTGTTTTCTAAGCACCAGTACTTCCATGCTCCCTGTGTTGTCATTTACATCAAACAATACACAATTCTTCTGTTCCGTTTTCTGCAAAAAGAAAAGCAACATCCTATCTCTGAGAATTTGGTTGAGAAATGTCATATCAATCAGACATCAGACATGCCAGACGAAGCCTCCAGAAAGAAATACAGGTAATTCTTGAACAACATGGGTTCGAACTGTGTAAGTCCCTTTATACAGAAATTTTCTTGCACCTCTGCCACCCCTAAGACAGCAAGAAAGACCCACCTCTCCTCTTCCTCCTCCTCCTCAGCCTGCTCAACAAGACAATGCGGATTAAGACCTTTATAATAATCCACTGCCGCTTCATGATTAGTAAATAAATTTTCCCTTTCTTATAATGTTTTTAATAACATTTTCTTTTACCTATCTTACTTTATTGTAAGAATATAGTATATAATATATATAACATATAAAATATGTGCTGACTTTTTTACATTATCGGTAAGGCTTCCAGTCAGCAGTAGGCTATTAGTAGTTAAGTTTTGGGGGTGTCAAAAGCTATACAGAGATTTTTGACTGTGTGGGGGCTGGCGGCCCCAATCCCCAAATTGTTCAAAGGTCAACTGTGTAAGAAAAAATCCAGCTTTG